AATAGGGAAAAACCAGAGATCTGTTCAAGAAAACTGGAGATGTTAAAGGAACATTTTGTGCAAAGATGGACATGATAAAGGACAAAAATTGGAGGGACCTCACAGAAGCAGAAGACATCAAGAAGAGGTGGCAAGATACACAGAGGAATTATACCAGAAAGATCCGGATGTCCCGGACAACCCAGATAGTGTGGCTGCTGACCCTGAGCCAGACATCCTGGAGAGTGAAGTCCAGTGGAACTTAGAAAGTGCGGCTAACAACAAAGCCAGTGGAGGTGAAAGCATTCCAGTTGAACTATGGTACAGTGGTGCCTCGTATAACGAGCGCCCCGTTTAACGAAGAATCCGCATAACGATGTGTTTGCATATTTCTGACAGTTTAGGTCATAAAAATCCTTGCCTTAGTCATGACTCTCTTCTCAACTTCAGCATAAAAGTATCTGTTCATCTCCCCACCCCAAGATGTAATTATCATCTATACTGTTACGAGGAGCACATCAAATGAGAAAAAACTAAACACAAGGCTGAATCTTATTTTGATACAAAAATCATATCAGGATACTTGTGAATGCTTCTAAAAGACACAATTGGAGAATCTAGGCTTATTTCCTCTAAAGGCAACAGTCTTGGGTTCTGATATATGTCTCTTTCAAAGGCAGGACCAATATCATTAAGTAGCATCAATAAATCCCCTGATCCAGCAAGGGGTAATCTGATGCAAAAGAGGGAGAGGCATCTCTAACCCCCAGTGCCTGGAGTAGGGCATGTTACATTTGCTTCAATCTAGTATTAAATAAGCTTACTGTTTCCTTGAAGTCTCCTCCTTAGTTTGGAAAATCCTTGCTCAATTGATTTGATAGGATAGAGGGGCCAAGTGAATGGGTGAAGTATAAAGGGTATGAGATCTCTTGTAGGACCAAGACAGTTCCTGTTTTTACACAACAGTCTTTGGCCCACATTAAAAACTAAAGGATGAGCATTTGAGCCAAAAGTGCCCTTCTGCGCACACAAAGAAACTTCTGCCATGGAAGGAATATTGTACACACTGCACTAGAGTTTTATATTAGGTTTGAAAACATAGCCGAGGCTGTTCTTCCATTGCAAATTCTTGTACCACCAATTGCATGAAAGCTGTTACAGAACCTTACTGCATGAACCATGGATTTGCAGAAAATCATTAGCAGCTATTTGCCTTTCCTTCATAGTGCTTTGAATAGAGTTCAATGACAGATTTTCTAAACAAAATGCTAGAACTGAGCTTTTTAAAAAATTCACTCACCCCAAAATTATATCTGTCAGACAACTGAATAACAATAAATTGTTACTGTATCATGGTTTCCTATGCTAATTACCAGAAGATAAAAATATATTAAATAGAAAATTGCTACATTTACTACAATGCACATATTACTGTATTTTTTGCACCATAAGACTCACTTTTTTCCCACAAAACAGGGGGGTGGAATGTCTAACAATAAATTGTTACTGTATCATGGTTTCCTATGCTAATTACCAGAAGATAAAAATATATTAAATAGAAAATTGCTACGTTTACTACAATGCACATATTATATGTTTGTATTCTGCTAATGCATAACATATCTGACAACTAACACAAATTATCGGTGCGTCTTATGGAAAGGTGCGTCTTATGGAGCGAAAAATACGGTATATGTTTGTATTCTACTAATGCATAACATGTCTGACAACTAACACAAATTTCTTCTTTCTTGCTCAAAGAGTGTCTAACAGTGTTTGTTTGAGGACTGTTTCACAGGAGACTGTGCCACTGAATTATAACCAAAGAATAGGAAATCTGAAAGAGTGCTGAGAATACAATCAGCAGTTAATACAGCTTATTTCCATTTGATGTTTTGTGGACTAAACTGTTAAAGAATTTGTACAGCAGAAATTTCAAACATAAGCAAACAAATTAAAGGTGAAATATGTTTCAACTCAAAGAATATTTTTCAAAATGACAGGCATACAGTTCAAGGTACAGCCTAGCTTTCATGTCAAATAAAACAAACTTTCTTCCTTTTTGGCTGAGTGTGAGGAAGAGAGCCCTTCACTTGTTAAGCTCTTCTTGTCTGCAGTAGAAGCCCAAAGGAGT